GAACTTACACACCTCTGCACTCAAAAAGCAAATAACCCGATTCACAAATGGGCAGAGGATCTGAACAGACACTTCTCCAAAGAAGAAATTCAGATGGCCAACAGACACATGAAAAGATGCTCCACATCACTTGTCATCAGAGAAATGCAAATTAAAACCACAATGAGATATCACCTCACACCAGTAAGTATGGCCAGCATGAAAAAGACTAAGAACAACAAATGTTGGCGAGGTTGTGGAGAAAGGGGAACCCTCCTACACTGCTGGTGGGAATGTAAATTAGTTCAACCATTGTGGAAAGCAATATGGAGGTTCTTCAAAACACTAAAAATAGAAATACCATTTGACCTGGGAATCCCACTCCTTGGAGTTTACCCAAAGAATACAACTTCTCAGATTCGAAAAGACATATGCACCCCTATGTTCATTGCAGCACTTTTCACAATAGCCAAAATATGGAAGCAACCTAAGTGTCCATCTGTAGATGAATGGATAAAAAAGATGTGGTACATATATACAATGGAATACTATTCAGCCATAAGAAAGAAACAAATCCTACCATTTGCAACAACATGGATGGAGCTGGAGGACATTATGCTCAGTAATAAGCCAGGTGGAGAAAGACAAGTACCGAATGATTTCCCTCATCTGTGGAGTATAACAATGAGGAAAAACTGATGGAACAAAATGGCAGCCAACTCACAGACTCCAAGAATGAACTAGCGGTTACCAAAGGGGAGGGGGGTGTGGGAGGGATGGAGAAGGGGATTGAGGGGTATTATGTTTAGTACACATGGTGTGGGGGGTCACAGGGAAAACAGTGTAGCAGAGAGAAGACACATAGTGACTCTGTGGCACCTTACTACACTGATGGACAGTGACTGCAGTGGGATATGGGTGGGGAATTAATAATATGGGTAAATGTAATAACCACATAATTTTTTCACGTGAAACCTTCGTAAGGTGTTTATTAAGGTGTTTCATACCTTAATAAAAAAAATACTGTTGGACTTGGAGTGTGAATATACTCTTGATGATTTTTACATCTAATTTTCATGAGAGAAACCAATCTAATTTTTCATTTTTTCTGGTATTGCTTTGGCAGATTTTGGTATCAAAATTTTACTTTTCTCTCTCTTGTTTCAATTACCTGGGAGAATCTGTGTAAGACTGGATAATCAGGTCTTGAAATTTGGGGAGAATAACCTGTAAAACTGCCAGAATGTAGTTTTCTCATTGGGAAAACTTACTTACTACTGGTACTCTGATTTCTTTAACAGTTACTGTATCATTCAGATTACTTTTTTTGTCGGGGGGGGCGGTGTTGATTTTGTATTTTAAGTCTAAAAATTAACAGGAGTTAAGTTGTTCACAGTGTTCTCTGGTGACAGTTTCATCTCTGCAGGATCTGTAGTTGCATCCTCCTTGTTGCTTATATATTAAAAAAATTAAACCCTTTTTTATTATGGAAAACTTCAAAATAAACACAAAAGTAGCAGATGGTAAAATGAACACAGCCCTCATTCAATTTTGATGGTTATCAATATCCCATTTCTTCTTCCATCTAATTATGGTACCTTTTTTCTATTCTTGACCAGTGTCTCAAAGGCTTATTTATTTAGTTAATGTTTTCAAAGAATCAAGTTTTGGTTTTGTTCATCTTCTCTTTGTTTTCTGTTTCATTATTTCTTATATATCATCCTGTTTTAATTTCTTTGGGGTTTACCCTGTTCTTCTACTAATTTCTCAAATGAAATCCTTACTTCATTAATTTTCAGGTTTTAAAAGACTAACTCCAACATTTAAGACTTTATTGAAAGATCTCTCAAGACCAAATCCCTCTCCCCTACAGGTATTCATATGCAATGTTTCTATTATCTTTGAGTTTTACATTATCTTAAAATGTCTCCTGTGGCATCTTACTTGACCCATGAGTTATTTAAATGCCTTTAGATCTCCAAATCTAAAATATTTAGGGAACTGCAAGTATTTTAGATTCTCAAATATTCAGGAATTAAAAAATTTACTAATACTGGAATCTCAAGTATGTTGTGGTCAGAGAATACAAATTATACACACTAGTTCTTTGAACGTTTGGAGCTTGCTCTCTGTGCCTCTACATACTGTTTCTGGGACTGACCCGTGTGCAAACTTGCTCTTTCTGGGATGCGAGCTGCACCTGTACTCGTGAGCCTGCACTCGGGGGTGAGCTATTTCTATGCCCCATCTCTGCGGAGGCTGGGCTGCTGCAGCCATCTGGCATGCATGCAGAGGACGTCGGCAGCTACCGGGAAGGAGGGTTTGTGTGATTCACTGTGCAGCCCAAATACTTCTGCTTTCTGTATTTTGAGGTTATTTCATTAAGTACTTACATTTAAAATTACTATTTCTTTCTAACAAATTGAACCTTTTAGCATTAGGTAGCAACCTCCATCTGCTACAATGTATTTTTGTCAAGACAATAACAGAACTAGGACAGCTTCCCTTTTCCTACTTCCACCTTTCCATCCATTATGCTTTAGGTATGTTCTTGTAAACAGTATATATACGTATATATTTAAATTTTTTAACACAATCTGACACACTATTTACTTTTATTTTTGTCTACCATCGACATTTTGATATAACTGGACTTGTGTCTCCTACCTCTTTAAATTTGTTTATTGTAATTTCTTTACATTTTCTTCTTTGAATTTTGATTTTTTCTTTCTGCTTAGCAGCTCATATACCCTATTTCTATTCTTTTAATGTTTGCTCTTGAAATGTCATGCCCATTTACCTTAAAGTCTGAACGTGAAATACCTGGACCAAAGGACTTGAGGCTACACAGCTGTTTCACACCTAACTTACACATTACCTCTGATCAACAGTGTGGTTCTTTTAGACAAAATGTCAGTTTAACATGTGTTTGTACCGACACTTATAGACTATCTTTCTGAGATCAATTTCCTTTTTTCCTGAAGTATATAATCTTAGATGTTTCCTTTCATAAAGGTCTCTCTGTAGCAAGCTCCTGAAGATTTCCTTTATTGTGGGGAAGATGAGTTTTGAGACAGTTTTGTGGACACACAATTATAGTCCAACAATTTTCTCTCAATACTGGAAATATCACTTCTGGTTTCATATGCTATGCCCAGGGATGGATTTTTTTGTTTGCTTATCCTATTAGTAAATGTTGTGCTTTTGAACTTGAAGATTCACATTTCTCAATAGTTCTGCAAAATCCTCAGGCAACATTTCTCTTTAAATATTGCTTTTCTGTAGTCTCTTCATTTACTCTTAGGGGGCTCCAGTTCAATAGATGTTGGACTTAGAAAATATGAAAGGGGAAGGAGAGACTATTTTCCTTTTACCTTGGCACATTCCAGGTACATTTTTCAGATAGACATTCCAGTTCACTTATTCCCTCTTTTCTTATTCCCAGTGACTAATCTATTTATCATCTGCTACTGAGGTCTTGATATTAATAATGACGTTTTTCATTTCTGGATGTCTTACTGTTTTCCCCAAGTCTTGGGTGTTTGATATGATAATCTTCATGAGGTCACGCATGATCCTAAAGTGTGTGAGTCCTGCAAGTCTGCCTTGGGAACACATCCCTCCAGAGTCCTGCCTATATCCAGGAAATGCCCCTAATTTTATCCCCTGCTCCCCAGAATCTACCTTCAGGTTAAACTTCTTATAATTCAAGTAATTTTCCTACAGATTCTTCTTCACTTTGTACAAATACACTCATATCTTCTGAGAATGACAATTCTATTTCTTCCTTCTAATTCTTATCCTCTTTGTTTCTTTTTATGCCTTTATAATAGAAGCTGTAATAACAGACATCCTTATTTTATTTTTTAATCTCAAGGGACAGCTTTTAATGTCTCAACATTCAGTGTGGCATATACTGTATTTTATGGAGACCTTTTTTACTATGGTGAGGTGTGCCCTTCAAGTCCTGTTAAGAGTTTTTATTATGAATGGATGCTTAACTTTAGCAAATGCTTTACTTAACCTAAGATAAAATATACACACTCATATCCTATATAATAAATATAATTTCCCAAAACATTTAGAATTTTACAGTATTTCAGACAGGAGCTGATGACTTTTTGTAAACTAACTGCTTCTTGTGTGTGCACGTACACTATTTGAAAGAAAGAGGTGAAAGAACTTCCAAAGAAAGAATGAGGAGCTTTAGAATGAAACTGTCCTAATTCACATAGTAGATGAAATATTACTGTATACAGACTCACAGACTCCAAGAAGGGACTAGCAGTTACCAAAGGGGAGGGGTGGGGGAGGGCGGGTGGGCAGGGAGGGAGAGGGGATTGAGGGGTATTATGATTAGTACACATGGTGTGTGTGGGGTCACAGGGAAGACAGTGTAGCACAGAGAAGACAAGTGGTGACTCTGTGGTGTCCTACTACACTGATGGACAGTGATTGCAATGGGTATGAGGGGGTACTTGATCATATGGGTGAATGTAGTGACCACATTGTTTTTCATGTGAAACCTTCATTAGAGTGTATATAAATGATACCTTAATAAAAAAAAATATATTATTGCATATACTATTAGAAAAGTCTGCTGGTGAAGAAAACCAAGCAAATACCTAAAATGTAACTTTTCTCCTTAAAGCATTCCATATCAATGTATTCCAATGTCAGCACACATCAGGATTGCCTGGGGGGCCTGTTAGAACAAATACAGATGTTGGCGCCCCTCACCCCTGGGTCTGATTCAGTAGAACTGGGAGAGGGGAAGAGGAGATGCTGCTGCCCAGGGACTACGGAGAGCACTGCCCTAAATCTGTCTTTGCACGTCTGGGGAGGTGAGAAATCATGAATACGAGGGTGACTGAGGTTGGTACGCGTGTGCTCGGGGCGGAGGTGGGGGTGGGGGGCACGCTATCACATGCTCAAACGTTGCGAAGCAGTCAGGCTGTGTGGGTCACGTAGGGGGACTACGAGACCATCACCACTGTGTCATACACAGTTCTAACACTTACCTTTTGAAGTATTCCACCTCCCTCTCTGTCTCATCCATGTCCACACTGTCTAGGTCAATATCTTTAGGCAGAAAGACATCATCTGTAAAATTAAAGAAAATTACAAGTTCAAGTTACAATAACAGCCACCTTATCAGTACAGAACAAATTATTTGGTTTTACTTACTTTGAACAACTTTACAAAATAAAAACTTTTTCTCAGATGGTAGTTTATAGTCAAAGGAGGCATTCAGTTAATACATGCAACATCCCAGAGACTTCATCAAAAACCTTTCAGGCTGTTTCAATCAAAGAGCAAGGCTGTGTTTCACTCTGAATTAAATAATCTCTTTGAAAACAGGCAGCCCAGCAGGGAGACCCCTGACTCTGGATCATTCCAGCTCCTAGAATCTTGGCAAGTTTGAGGGTTCTGACTTTTCTCTTCTGCTCATCCCTGTGCCCTTCCCTGCCTGGTACCTGGGGGACACCTCTGAGAGCTGGTAGACCTCCAAATAAAGGGGAGCTTCCAATTCTCTGCAGACCTTAGCATGGGATAATTTTTAGGACCTCTAACAAAAAGCTCCCTCTTTCTATCACTAGGGCATTTCCACAGCAGCATAACTAAGGCACGTTTTACCTGCATAGCAGCAGCTAGTATCTCTGACGCCTCACAGCACCGGGCGGAGTGCCTTCACATCTCTTAGCTCACAGGAATGTGCCATCACCGAGGTGTTTCCCTCTAAGGACTCCATGGCCACGCTGCTCCCTCACGGACAGCTCTCCCACACACACTCTACCAGCACCCAGAGCTCCCTCCCTGCCCTCAGTTGTCCTCCTGGCACTCCACCTCCCTTCCTCCACTGCATCCCTGTGGTTCAACCATACCTGGGTACCAACATCAAACCTCCACTCCTGCCCCGGACCACCCTCCTGAGCTCCATATCCATGAAGTCACTGTCTTGTATGTCCACCCTTCAGGCATCTGACCCCCAACACAGGCAAAACTGCTCAGCTCCACCTGCTGCCAGCTGCTGCATTTCTGACAGTGACCAAGAAATGGCCCCTGCCCTCACTTCTGTGCCATACCGTTGTTCCCCACTTCCATCAAGTTCTTCCTGAACTCGGGACTCCCTGTCTCCATCCCACAGCTACTGCTTCAGTGCCAGCCTGCACTGCGCCCCGGCCAGGCTCCTCGGCCCGGCTTCTGCCCTGCTGGTCCAGCCTGCATGGAGGCATCTTCCACACAGCCACCCTGCCTCCACAGCCCAACCGTTTCCTCCCCAGCTACCGCGACTGCTCCAACTGGGCCTCTGCTGCACATCTACTCACAGACCTTGCTTGGTGCCAACTTGAAGCCCTGATGAGGGGCGAGGAGGGATGAGATGGGGCAGGAGAGTTTACAGATGTGAAGAGAGTGAAGTCTAAGGAAGCACGCTCAATAGCCCTGCCCCCAGAAGTTCCAGGAGAGCAGTGTCATCCACAAAGCAGAGGGCACAGGCCCGCCTACTAGAAATGCTGCCCTAATAACGTGATTTCAAATACTCTTTTTTTCTGATTAGAACTAATCTGTATTGAAATCCTGGTATAAGAAAACAGTAAGACAGAACTATAACCAGATCCAATCTCAGAAAGCATTTGTCCCAACAGAACTGTATTAACCAGAGTGGAGAGAAAGTGTGGCCTGTAATTTCGGCACAGCCAGGCTGTGTGTTCATCATTGCATGAAACGGTTTGCTTCACTAGAGCTCACAGAATCCTGTGCCTGACCCCTCCCTGAGGACAGCTGGGAACACCCTAGCAGGAAGGACAGACACTGTGCGTAATTACAGACCTAAGGGTACCGTATGTTCTCACAAAGCAGAAATAATGCAGCTGAAAATGGGAGGATTCTCAAAATGGTCAGTGAGGAAAGTGGAGAGAAGGAGATGAGCCCACTATTTCACAGGCAGCGGGCGGGCATCAGAGGAGCCGCCTGAGCAGGAAGGTCAGGCGGGGGGCGGGCACGGTGCACTAGGAAGAGACCGCACACCGTCCGGAACACCCAAGATTCTGGGCCAAAAAAGAGCAAAGAAAACACATCCCAGAGATAAAGCTACAGCCAGTATAAAATGCACATAGTATGAAATAATGCTAGGGCTGAGATGGAGCATAGAGCAATAGTAAACGGGAGTGGGCTCAACCCACCTAAAAGGGGCACTCTCAGGTCCACGCTGTGTACAAGGAACAACTAAAACCAAGGCAGAAAGGCTAGAAATGAAAAGATGAGGACAAAGGTGCCCCACTGGGTAAACAGAAACAGAGGGGATGGCCATCACCATCGCAGACCAAGTGGAATTCAAACCAAAAGCACAAAACACGACAAAGAGGACTTTTTTTAGTACTAAAAGCCATAATTTACCCAGAAGATATTTCAATTAGGAGTGCCTACCAAGTAACACAGAAACCGCCTTATAAAGCAAAACTATAGGAGAAGCAAGAAAACATGGGTGGAAGCTCATTAATAATAAATAGAAGAGAGGTCAAGAGGGTGAACAAGGAAGGAAACAGAAGGCCGAAGCCCAAGCTACCAGGGTACCGTGGAGACACGTCCATTAAATTTTGTATCACGGCACTAGAGGAAAGTACATTTTTATCTCAAGTGCACATGGAGCAATCACAAAAGCAGGTCACAAAGAAAATATCAGTAAGTTACATGAAGCAGAAATACTACAAACAATTCTCTCTGATCATAACATAAAAAAATTAAAGAAAGGCTCTCCCCCCCGAAAAGTAAAAGCCACCTATTAAACTAACGGGTGAAAGGGAAAATGGAAATGATTGATTTTCTAAAAAAGGAAAGAGAAAGGGGCACACGGTCAGACGCCTGAGGATGTACATAAAGGAGGGTCACAGGAAAACCCAAAGTGCCAAACGCTGGCCGGTACAAGCAGGGGGTGAGAAGCGAGTGACCTCCTGAGTCCGTGGCCACAGAGCAAATAGCAAAGGAAAAGAATGCGAAGGACAGGAAGAAAGTGAGGAGGGGAGAGGAGGGGAAAAGAAAGAAAAAGGAGCCTAATTAGAAGGCACAGTCCTGGCTTTTTGAAAATATCAAAATATCAAACTAATAACTAACTGAATCAACAGAACAGAAAGGAGCATGAACATACAAAATAAGAAATGACAGAAGAAGAGTTAAGGAATGAAAGGAAATTTAAAAAAAATTACATACTTTGCAGACATGTATGGAAGTAAGATGGAAAATAGTTGAAGGGATAATTTACTGTGGGAATACAGATCACCAACATTTGCCTCTTTAGAGACTTAAGTTACTAAATAGACCCATTTCCATAGAGGAAAGAATATTATCAAGGGAGTAGTAACCCACCACAAAGCACCAGTCCTGGGGGGCTGCACAGGAAATTTCCATAGAACCTTTAAGACCCAGATGGCCCCCAACACAGGAAGAACTGTTCTGGAACACTGAAAATGAAAAACAAACTTCCTAATTCTTTATTCTTCATAAAACATAACATTCACACTCCAAGCTAATCTAGACAGCAAGAAAAAAAAAATTACCGACTGCTATCTCCTATGAATACTGATGTGAAAATATGAAATAAAATAACGGCAAACCAAACCCGAATCAAAGAACATAATACATAAGCAAGTGGGCTTTATTCCAGGAATCCAAGGTTGGTCAAATATTAGGAAATTCAGTAATACAGTAGGTCTAAGAAAAATCATGTTTATCGCCACAGATGCTAGAAAACCTTTGACAAAAAACCCTTTCCTGATAAAAATACTGAAGAAAAGCAGAAACTGTTGGAAATTTTCTTAATATGACAAAATATACAAACCTCATCCTAAAGGCAGAATCTTACTTAATGGGAAACACCAGACATTTCTGTTAAGATCAAAAGCACTGCAATTAAACAACAGAAAAGCAATTAGAAGTCTAAGAATTGGCAGAAGTAAAACTTTCTCTATGTACAGACATGACAGAATAATCTAGGAAACCCTAGAGAATCAGTAATAAGACTCAAACAATAAATGAGTCAGTAAGGTGGACTATATAGTTAATACGCAAAAACAGTAGCCTTCATATACACAAGCAGTGAGAGTAGCGCTACCAATCAGAAATGAGATGAATCACATGCATCATTTAAGATTTTCTAGTAGGCACACTAAAAAAGTTCAAAAGGAACCGTGAAATTAATTTTAGTAATATGTATTTTATTTAATTAAACATACCCAAAAGATTATCATTCAACATGTAATCAGTATAAGAACTATACTGAGACCTTTTACATTCTTCTTTTTCATATAAGGTTTTCAAAATCCAGTGCGTATTTCACACTAACACCACCCCTCAATTTGGACTAGCCACATTTCAAGCACTCAACAGTGCCGGGTGCCCAGCGGTGACTGCGTTGGACAGACGGCGCATTGGAAGATAAAATGGTAGCGAATAACCCACTAAATTTAAAAACAAGGAAGATCACTAAATACTTCGAATACGCTCAGTAAGAAATGTGGAAAACCTATGAGAACATTTAAAACATTCCCCAAAGCCCCAAGAGTACACTTGAACGAGTGAAATAAAGCTCTTGTTCTCGGGAAGGATGATCAGCATCATAAACTCCCCCTAGTTGCATTTATGAAGTCAGTGCAAACCCAGCAGGACACCAACGGGGCTCTTTCTATGGAGCGAGGCCCATGTGCAAACAGCACACGAGAGAATAGCCAGGAAAACACTGAAGAAAAGCACGAGGAGAGAATGGCTCTGTCACTAAAACACAGAGAGCTTCTGAAACAACTGACTCAGTGCGTGATGGCCCCTGAAGACACAAAGAGGAAAGGGACAGCAACGCCACAGTGGACCCCAGTTCACATGGAAAGGCAGTGGAGCACCATGGTCCGCCCGGGGCGCTGGGGCAAGATGAACATCTTAAAGCTGGTGCTGAGACAACTGGTAATCAATCATGTGGAGAAAGATAAAGTTGGGCCATGCCTCACATGGTGCACAAGAGCAAACTCCCAATGTATCAAAGACCAGATGAAAAAGTGATCCCACATAAACACAGATAGGAACGTGGGTATGTTTCCTCCTGACCTCCTTGTGTGGGTAAAGCTTTCTAATGATTAAAGTCCAGAGGCAATACAAGATCAATGTACTAACTACATTAAAATGGAAAATAAAACTTCCACATGGCCAAAAAAGCATCATAAACACAATCAAAAGACAATCTTTGAACTGGGGGAATGTAAAAATGAGGAAAATATACAACTAGGAAATTCACAGAAAAGATATAGAAGCAACCCTAAAAATAGGACCTCATTGTAATCAGAGATAAGCGGAAATGAAAACGACACTGAGGAGGGATTTCACATGATGGTGGCCCCATTACAAGGCTGGACAGAGAGGCCAAGGGAGATGCGCTGCAGGGCTTGGAGAACGTGGGACAGCAACACATGGAAACACACACGCACAAGAGCGTTTTTTACCGCAGCATCGTTTGTAACTATCTACGCGGGACACACTCTAAAGGCTTGTGCACAGAAGGGCGAATGGATGATGGACATTTTAGAGGGAGCGTGATGTGGCTGCAAACAGGAAGGAGGAGCTCCCTGAACTGCCACGTGGTGCTTTCTGGAACATGCTGAGGGGGCCCTTGTATGTTCCCTTCTGCATAAGGCAAAAGAGCAAGTGAGAAAGCACGTGGTTTTACCTACGGGAGCAGAAGGGATGAGGACAGGGAGGGGAACTGGATGCCACAGCACAAACAGCAACAGGACCTCGTGGCAGGGCCCTGCCCTCTGCCAGCCACCCCACATCCCCAGGTGGCGGGCGAGAACTGCCAGCAGACGCTGAGCAGGCTCATGAATCATGAAGTCTTTCACAGCGATCTGAGACGACCTCACCTGCCCTGGAGGGCGCACAGGTCAGCAAGTACATGGAACAGATGGGAGCCCAGGGTCTTCAACATGGGAGTTAGAGGCAGAGACTGGTCGTGCCCTGGAACCAGGGGCCCAGATGCCCTGACACTCCAATATGCCCGTCAGGGTTTCTAGGGCCCCCTGGAGACATGGCGGGTGCAGGGCCAGGATTGGGAGGGTACAAGAGTAGCCCAGCCTGCTAAGGACCAGAATCCAGAGATGGGTGCTCCCATCTGCAATGGTTGGAGTGTCAGCATCAACGGTGTAGGCAAAGGTCAGAGCCAGCAGCACAAGGAGTCCGTTGAGCGGGAGCAGCTAGCAGGTGAAACACACAGGGGAGAGGAAAGCACCCCGTAGTAGGACGCCAAGTGAGAAAGGGGCACAGGATGGTGTGAGGAAAGACTATCACTTGGTGAATGACACAGTAAAAACCATTTCAGGCACGAATCGTCAACGATGCTAAAACTAGTGGGTGAATGCCTGATAAAGAACAGGAGATTCATCTCCCCACCAGACACGTACTCGTTCGCAAGGGGCAGGCATCCCCTCGACAGTGGAGAGACAGGGCAGGCGCACCTCAGTCCCAGGACGGAGCCCTCTGGTGGCAGCCCTGATGGGCCCAGCACCTCCATGCTCTGCTGCCCCAAATCCACAATCTGAATCTGACTGAAGAAATGGCACACAAACCAAACTGAATTATTCTAAATAACAAATTATTCTAAAAAATAAATGGGCCATACTCTAGAAATGTCAAGGTCTTGAAAAACTGAGATGATCCATTAAAGGAAACTCAAGAGAGATGACATGTGACCCTGGATTGGATCCTGTGGCAGGACATCGTTTCTCTGTAAGAACATTAAAGGGACAACTGGGGAAATATGAGTAAGGTCTAGAGTGAGACAACGGTATTATGTCACTTAGTTTCTTGATTTTAACAATTGCAGTGTGATTTTATAAAGAAATACCCCTTTTTTGAGGAAATACACACTGACATATGTAGGGATAAAGGGCGTTATGTCTGAAACTATTCTCATTTGGGTCAAAGAACAGAGGCAGAGTGATACCGTGCTGATTTGGGGGCTTCGGAATTGTCTGTATTCTTTGCCCTTTCTCGGGAAGCCTAGGATCACTGAGAGTAACAGAGTGCGAGAGCGATGGCCGCCTGCCCCTCGCGGTGGGTGTGACCGAAAGCAAAGCCGGGCCACGCAAGGCGGCAGCCGGTGCACGGCACTGGGCACAGGCCTCATGGCGCTCTGAGAGCCAAAGCCGCCCTGCTCTGTATTTACCAATTGCAGAGCCGGCTCCGTCTCCTTTCTTCTTCTTACTTTTCTTGTTCCTGCTCTTGGGCTGAGGGGAGTCTGCCGGGGCCAGCTTGCTGCCCTGGGCCTGCCCGCTGGGGGAGGCGGGCTCAGGGCCGGCCAGCTGCGGCTTCTCTTCCTTGATGTGGTTCGGCTGCTTCTTGCTGCTGCTGACCCTCCTCTCCTCCCTTTTCTGCTCTGCCAGGGGCACGAGGTCCAGCACCTCCGCCTTTGGCTCAGCCTGGGACCGAGCTCGGGGGGGCTCCGAGGGCTTCCTCGCTGGCTCAGTGCTGGCCTTTCCAGTGGGCCTCAGCTTCTGTTTGCCACTCCCCTCTTTGTGCTGATGCATCATGTCGAGGAGAAAAGACAGCGGCCCCTGCTGCTTTCCGCCGGCCTCCTTCAGGAGCGGCCTGGAGTCTCTGGCATCTGTGGGGTCAGCAGCGACGCCGTCAGCCCCCCGGCCCGGCCCTGGCTCCATGTGTTGGGATGGGGCACAAGGTGAGGCTTCTGGCTCCTCGGCGAGCTCCAGGGAGCCATTGTGGATGCCTTCGGAGCCGGGTGAGTACCCCACTGCTGCCCGCAAGTTCCCGGTGAGCATGTCCAGCTTGGAGCAGTCTTTACTCAGCCTCTCCTTCTTCTTCTTCTTCACGGCTCTGAGCTTCTGAAGCTCCTGCAGCCGCTGAAACTCCTCCTTGAGTCGCTCCTCCTCCTCCTCCTCCCGCCGCCGCTGCTCCTCACGGAGGTGCAGATGCTCCCGGGCCCTGGCCTCTGCTTCAAGACGAGCTTTCTCCTCTAGCTGCCGACAGGAAAAGAGAAGGTGACTTGAGATGGAAGTGTTCTAAAAATTAAGATGCACCAACAAGTTAATACGAAAAAAGAATCACAGAAGAACATAAACTCTGAAAAGGCTGCAAAAGGCCCCAAGTTTCAAACATACCTGCTTCAATTATTCCACTCTACAGGACCACTAGGTCTAACGCACCAACCAAGCACACGCTTACGTATTAGCGGGAGGGGGCTATTAACGAGAAATCCCTCACAGCCTTTGTGGTCTAGGCACATAAAGCAAGTTCCAAGCAGCCGCTAGCCCCTGGCCTGCACCAGCTCCCCAGCATGCGCGCATGGTGGTGACAACTGACAGCACAGTGGCCTGTGCAGTAGCCACATGGCTGCACACGGGCTGCCAGAACCCTCAGCAAGCACCTTTCCAGGTGAGGCTGATGCTGACGTGTTTACATGTATGAGCAGGGCATGCAGGAAACCTGTACTAAAAGAACTGAAACTCCTTTTCTCCTCCCTTGCAGATAAACAAAATTCCCAATATATTTCTAGTTGTGTGATAGAGCAAAGGACTTACTAAAATATTCAATATTACACAGCAAATAGAAAACATTTATTTCTGCTATCCAATTAATTTTCATCCAAGGGAAGACTGTATTTTATTTGTGATACATATTCCAGGAGCATAAGTGGAAACTATTCTTTCTGTTTGGAGAACAAAGGAAAGCCGTGGAGAGTAGGGAGCATGGTTCCTCTTACTGCTTAACTCTTAACACCACCAGTGATTATGAAAAACTGGCAAAAACATTTTGCATGGAAAGATGTAAAAGTCCTCCCAAGTTTTAATTATTTTTCACATTTTGGTAGTCTATATATGTATATATGTATTTTCTGGTAATATTTTTAAGAGAAAATTTACCCCTGTCTTTTGAAAAATCTAAATGATGTTAAAAATTTAATGACATATTTAAGTTTTTTTTTATTTGACAATTGAAGGAAAAAGTATTTAAAATCCTTGCTCCATCTGTTAAAAAAGAAGACTTCTTCAAGAGCAGAACCTGATAGGCAGGTCTGGAACGGCCCCGACGGCTGTCGCTTTGGGCAAATGCCCAGTGTCGAGGGAGCAGAGCGCCGCCCACAGTGCAGGTCTGCAGGTGAGCCTGTCACAGGATGGACTCTGCAGCGAATCAAAGCCTCCCACCCTCACTCCAACAACCAGCCAGAACTGAGATGCCAAGGTCCGAGTGGGGGCTGAGGATGGCCTCCAGCGGGCCCGAAGGGGCTGCGGCATCAGGCCTGGGTTCAGAGTGTCTGCAGGGACAGGGGACAGGAGCCTGGGAAGCACTTGGATGAGTGCAGATGCTTCCAGTGAATACTAGTGGGGCATGTCTGGGCCTCCCGATGCTGTGACGCTCCAGTGGGCCCAGCGAATCCAGACTTTCTGAGGCGCAGAGCAGGCTTCGCCCTCAAAGCCCCTAATTGGGCCTGACAGTCAGTGCAGACCCGTTTGGGACTGTGAGGTGCCCAGGGAGGGAACAATCACAACCATTTCAGTATCACAAGCAGCTCAGCTGGAGTCACCGCTGCAGGAGTGTCCCAACCTCTGTGGCAATGCCCTCTTCCTCCCATCTGGCCCAGCACTGCAGCGGCCTCAGCTCGTCTGAGGCAAACCGCCTACCGTCAGACCCTTCAGCCTTGAAGATCAGCCTGCAGAGGCCCGGCTTTTGGCAGCTGGCATCTTTAGGAGCTGAACCGCTCCAGCTCAGGAGCCCTGGGGAAAGTATCCCTAGAGACTAGGGTGGGGATGGGGGTCAGAGCAGATGCTGTGCTCATGTCACAGGAAGTTAAGAGCACAATTCTCCCTTACAGGTGGTCTCTGAGAGGCATGTTCACTAGCTAGGTCATAGGCTAGTGTTGGTGGGTATTTGCCTTTGGGACATTCCATGCCCTATGGTGAGGCGAGCACTGCCTGGGGACTGCCCACCATGGCCAGCCATCTTACCACCCCATCTCGGCATGAAAGACACATGCCCTCTTCTGGAATGGGGCTGCCTGACTCTCCTCTGCCAGGGGGTAAGATGAGGAGTGGGAGCTCAGACCTGGCCCAGCGGGTACTGCTGTGCCCAGGTCCTGTCTCAGCCTTGATCTAAGTGGCTTCTTCACCCAGGCTCCAAAAGCCCACAGTGCCCCCAATCCCTTGTTTCCTGGGGAAGAGGGCTCTTCCCAGAGAAGAAGCTGGGGGGGTCCTCTGCCGCCCCCAGGCAAGCCAGCCCCAGAAGCTGAAGGCTTGTTCTATCTCCCTTACCAAATCCACAACACACAGGGGGAGCCGTGTCCCGAGGGTACAATGTGGGGCTTTTAACGGGTCTCCAGTTCGGGCCGCTCACCTTCCTCTGCTTGTGGCGCGCCCGCTTGGCCGCCCGAGTGCTGCTCACTGGTTTGGTCTCTGAGCTGTTGATGAACTGCAGCAGATCCTCCACCCGCCGGTGGTCCACCATACTCTCCCTTTCTGAGAGCTGATCTGACTTTTTAGGCTGCTCTTCTTTCCTCTTGGTCAGTCGTAAACGAAGCTTTTCTCTCATTTCTGCATAATTTCTACTTGTTGGTGCAGCTGGAGGCTGACAATGAAATGAGAACGTAACTGCACTAAGCTCTAAGCATTTTGCATGTAACAAATTTCAGACCATATCTCTAAAAACACATCTTGCTCAAGTAATACATGTCCATAAGCAGATGGCAGGAAAAGAATCACCTGTTGCTGTCACCCAAAATGGTATATTGGCGGCAACTCATCAAGCTGTATATTCGTCAAAAAGCTGGGAAAGTGCATGTGACCATGTAACAACAGACACTTTAAATCAAAAAAGAATTACACATACTGACTAGCTTACTTCTTACGTAATAGAGTATGATTATCTCTTTATGCCAGTACACGTGTCTTTACGTCCGTCTGTAGCTTCCCCCTTCGGCACCCATAAGAAAAACCATCACCCTCAACCCCATCATCAAGGATCTGATCACAAAGAACATGTGCTTGTGTCTAGGAAGCACAGTGAGAACCAAACAGACAAAGCCGACTCCCAGCCCCCCACCTCCCTATTGCACACCCCTAGGCACTATGACTGACGTCTGCTTGTGCAGACCAAATGACTGCTCTGGAAAGATGGGCCAGCGTGTACATATATCGACACTGACATCCTTTGTGTTCACAGCCTGGAGGAGTCATGGTGTGCCTTGTGTGCACTTGACTCCCCATGGCCAGATGCTCAGGGGGTCCCCGACTTCATAACTATTTTAGAAATCATAAACAAGTGCAAAAATGAAGTGATGACTCCTTATAGCTAAACGTTTTGGCAAACAATTTTCACTATTTCTTTAGGAAAGTACAACCTTGAAGTGGAATTGCTGTTTTTAGACCACAGCTTGATTCAAAAAATAAAACTTTACAAACGACACAACTTTCTTAAAAAGGAGCTCGTCAATCCTGCAATTCTAATTTGAACTTGCAATTTACAACCACCCAGCCTACGCTATGTGTGCCCTGGCCACCCCCGCCGCCAGGCGCTGCGGGCACTTACCCCGCCGTGCCCGAAGAACTCACAGTAGCAGCAGTCACAGTACTTGCCCTCCTTCTGGTTGGTGGAGGTCGAGGTGCTGGAGCTGTGCTCGGAGCAGCTGTCCTCATCGGCGCTCTCGTCCCCATCGTCCTGCTGTGGGTCGTAGACGCCGTTTTCACAGCGGTGCCCTTCGCAGTCAGGGTCACTGCAACACCGCACACAGGCCTGTTAGTGAGCAGCCCACCCTGCAAGGGCATGAGCATGCCAGGCGGCAGATGAGGCTTGGGGCCCACCTCATAGCAGATGGGAGCATGGGGCAGGGGTATACAGCCCACACACACTCACAGGAGTCCTGGGCTGGGCAAGGCAGTGCAGCTACAGGGCACGGGACGCAGACGGTCACACCTAGAGGGGCTTATCAGGCACACACAAAGTCCCCTCACTGACCCTCATCTCACCACTTTGCCCTGGGGTGTGGGGTAGGGACGGCCTCAAACAGGCAAGCTCAAGGGTAATGAAAATTGTCTTAAAAAAACCCAAACTGTTGAGTATCTGCTGTATTGTTCTTTGCTTGAGGTATAACAAATACAACTTAACACCCCCAAGGCCCAGCCCAATGCTGCCAGTGGTTAGGTGGTGGTTTGCACACTGACCCATGATGTCCCCTGGCTCTACAGAACTAGAGGCCAAGACCAGAGCCCTTACCTTGGCCCCTGGCCTCTGCCACCTCACCCCTTGCTGCTGCATCTCAAACGCTGGATTGTTCTGCTGCACAGGACCAGCGACCAGGGCTTCTGGAACCCAGTTCTACGGCACTCTCAGTTTTCCCCGCCTGCTGAACTCACCTGCAGACGCTGGGAGGTGCACTGGTGGAGCTGTCCGTGGTGGGGGGCGGGGGAGCCACAGGAGCAGGACAGAAGGTCTTGCGTGCGTCCACAAAGCCAGGTGATGTGGTCACAGCCTTGGGAAAGGATGGGGCTGCAAGGCTGGCAAGGTGTGGTGTGGAGGCTGGTGAGAGGGTGGCAGGAGTAAGAGTGGGCAGTGGTGCCAAGCCTGTGGGGCTGTTCCTTGGGACGGCTGGTGCCGTGTGTCTGTGATCCTCTTTGCTGACGCCATGAAAGACCTCACCTGCATTCACAGATGCAGGAGAGTCACTGCCAGCGGCTGGAGAAAGACAGGCATTCCTATTCTCTTAATTAGAACCTACCAACTCTGCCTGAAAATGTTCAAATCTATAAACACTACAAAGAATACACTCTTCACCTGGATTCATCGCTATTTAGTATTTTGTCATATTTTACTTCTGAAACACACACACTTTGTTGGCCCAGCACCTGGAAGTAACCTGTACGCACCCTTGAACACTTCAGTGTGAGCCCAAGAACACACATGCCTCCGTATCAGCACAATTCCACCGGCACACCTGGGTCGCTGACATCAACACAATACTCTCATCCCATGCACACCTCCATTTGGTTTCCAGTTTCCCACACAGGTCCTTTATAGCTTTTTCCCCCAACTCAGTCTCTTTTAAACTTTTTCCCCTTTCACAAAACAGATCTTTTTTGAGTTGAAGCCAGCACTCCACCCATAGGGATTTACAGTCCCATGTTAGATTTAGCTGAAGTGTTGTGGGCATGAATCCTACAAAGGTTATGTGGGACCCTTCCTATCTGATACCACAGGAAGCACCCAATGGCCGTCTGTTCAACGACAGAGAAGCCAGGCCCAGGCCGGCTGGCCAGACTCCTCCAATGAAAGGCCCCCGACCTCCCCTCTGCTCTGCTGGTCATCTTGGGTGCTGCTCCCAGCCAGCAGGTGTGCTGCATGCCCCACGGTGACATCCACATCCTTAATGTCTACCTATGACCCTTGGCTCGACGGGTGCCCTGCCAGCTGCAGAGTAGCCTTCTTTCTACTCCCCTCGTTCTGGCACGTGTCACAGCAGCAAGCTTTTGTCAAGAGGAGCTTCCCCACCTGCTGCCTTTTATGAGCACCCCACAGCCCCCAACTTGATGGGCCATAACCCACCCCTTACTTCATGGTGCTCACGCGTCATCCTGACCTCAGCTAGAGGGGCCCCTCTGAGCCACCCCACGTCCCTCTGACACCTGCCACTGGTCTGTGGCAGCTTCCTTGTTCTCAGGTGTCTTTCTCCCTGTGCTCAGAGTGTGACAGTGGCACCACCTGCACACCAGGGACCTGAGCGGTGGGCAGGGGCCACCCTGTAGGCTGGGGGCAACCCCATCGGCTCACTGTCCGCAAGGTCACTGCTCTCAGACAACTGAAACTTCCTCCATGCGCTCAGAAAGCAATCTCTTCCTATCGCGAGCAATAGGAGCAAGAGGGCAGGGCGAGACGCAGTGCGGCAAAGCCCCGAGAAAGCTGGTGTGACAGCAAATTCTGACCAGACCCCGAGAACGAGCTGTTTGTGACTGAGCATTCCCAGGCGTCGACACATCTATGCCACTGGCCAGGCTGGGTCAGAGACAAAGATGACAAGGGAGCATCCATACCTGCGTCAACCCCGAGGAGCCAACCCTGCAGACGCTGTGAGCATACAGGCCTTACCTCTGGAAGGGGGCCTCTGGGACGACACTTTGAACTGGCTGTTGCTTGACTGTACTGTGGTGGCCGTGCAGGACACAGAGGAAGTGGCTGACGAGGTGGCCATCACAACTTTGTTTGCTTCCATAAAAGCATCTTGGAAATTGTACAAACATTTCTTTCTTACAGCATTTTTTTTTTCTTTACTGTCCAGAACTGCAGGTGTTTCGCTGCTAGATGGAGGTGGAAGGGCTTCAGGTCTTGTTTCTGACAGTGTCGGCCCCAAAATGTCACTCCCTTCAGAGAAGAATGGGAAAATGAAGGCATCTAAAAGAAACCAGATTGAGCTAAACCCAAAGGACAGTGCTGACTAGACCCTCAGTACCTAGGCTGCTACGGAAGCAAGGGTTCCACTGGGAGGATGCTGGCCAACCAGTTTTTCCCTAAGAAAAAAATTGTATTGAGCACCTACCATGTGCCAATTCCTGTGCTAGGTGCTTCCCAAAAGTTATTTTGTTTGATGTCTTAAAACTGTTTTCTGAGCTTGGTACTATTACTCCCATCCTGCATATGAAGAAACTGACACTCAGAGAGGCTAAGCAAGTTGCCCAAGGTCACACAGCTAGAAACCCTTTCCAGGCACAGACCAGACCTGCTGTTCTGAGCATGTGCAGGGGCTCTAACACATGAAGACAGAGACAGGCGTGCGTACTGCCCCCTCCGGTACGCCCTGCCCTGCTACTGAAGTAACAGCTGTGCCTCAGCCACTGGGAAGAAAGAGCCTGTCAGAGGGGACAGAGCCCCCTCGAATGCGAGGCACAGAACTGAACTGACCATGGCACTGCCACACCGCCCCCGGGCACTGGGCTCAGGTCTGGTTGTCACCACTGCTGGAGAACCAAAAGCCCAGCCCCGAGCCCTGGAGACAAGGTGCTCAGCACAGCTCGCTGTGGGGCGGGCAGCCCCGGAGCTCGGGAGCCTGGCTCTGCTCCGCTGTGCAGTGGCGCTCGACTGGTGGGAGACCCGGACACGCAGGGTGGCTGAGGGGAGGCCGCAGTTGGGCGTGGCCGCATGCCCGCCGCTCAAGGGCCCCTCCTGGGAGACTACAGGGGCGGACAGGGCACCCATGCAGCTCGGGGCATTTTAAACTTTAAGAAAGTCGTAACAAGTTCCTTACCAGAAATTGTATCTGGCAAGAAAGTGCCAGGATTCCAGTTCTTATCATTCATCACTTCTGATCCCCAAAGACTTATAAATTTAGAACTATTCCACTCTGGAGTATTCCCAAAACAGCTCGGATAAATATGGTCTTGAAGAGATGCATTGAATACCTGATGCTTATTTGTGTGATTCTGAACAGGTGCTGGCGGTAAAGCCTACAAAAAAAAATGTTCTAATCACATATCAAAATTCATATTCTGTTGACCTACGTAGTTAAACTACAGACACACAAGTCATTTCCGAAAACCGTGTGGGATCGCTTGTGAGCAGGCATCCCTGGTTGAACGCATCTCACAGAGGATTTACTTGACTCTTTATAAGGCTATAGTGGTGGGTCAGATTTGAATGAGATGAACATTTTAAAAGCAACTGATGCCTCAAAGACTATATCAAACAACCTTGAGGCAACGCACAAGCTTCTAACACCCATCCGTATTCACGTGTTAAATGTGGTCATCTGCCTAAGATCTGCTCCTGTGTTTCTCTTCTGACATTTTAATGATCACTGCTGAAAAGTCAACTTTGGGCTTCGCTGATAAAAAAAAATGGTAAAACTCTTAAACTGTTCCCTCGCACCTGGGCAAAGCACAGTGTGAGTCTGCAGAGCCGTGGACGTCACGCTCAGCTCTGAAGCGCCCTCTGGGCCCCGTGGGGGGCAGATCCCTGTGCAAGCCCCAGGAGGGATGGCTGCGTCCACAAGCTCATCAGGCGAGTAGCCGCGCTGGCTGCTTCCTACACACACCTGGGTATTCTCTGGCCCTCTGACCCCTCAGCCCCCACCTCCACCACCTGCAACCCCCACATTTGCCCGGACTCTTGCCAGCCCTCTTTCTCTCGGCAGCTACTCACAAATGCAAGGGATCTAGCAAACATGTCACTGCCCAGCTAAGATGCACTGAAGGCTTCCCAAGGCTCTTAAAGATAAAACCCCGGCCTTCAAGGGGCCTTTCCTGCCCCTGTCCTCCCTGCTCACCAAGGCCTTCCCCTGACCCTCAGACCCGAGCTCCTTGTGGACCCCCACCTTGACTCCTGCTGGGTCCCTGTTCTAGAACACCCTACCTCAGCCTGCGACCTCACCGGCTCACACTCACCTTTCAGGTCTCAGCCGCAACGCCACTTCCCCCCTCGGAGGAGCCGTGCCTGCCTCCCGTCAGACATACCCGGACCCGCGGCTTTCCCTCTCACCACAGCTACAAATCAGGACTTACTTGTGACCTCCACTGATTTAATATCTGCCTTCCTTCAAACCATGTAAGCTTCCCAAGGAATAGGCCATCGGGATCCTGGCCTGCTGCCCCAGGAACCTGCTGATGCTGGGCATAGCTCTCCAGCAGGCGTACATGCTGTTGGAATGGACGTGCGCCCAGGCCCAGGCCCTGCCTCAAGCAGCCACAGGTCTGGCACTGGGAACAAGCCGGGAGTCCCCTCCTCTGGGAACACAGAAATGAGTGCTGAATGCTGTCAACTCAAGTAGGAGAGTTGTGAAAGAAGCAGGTGGTATTTTGGAAGGACCCCAAGGGCCTGGCTGGGGCAGGGGGAGGGGAACAGAGTGCAGGAACAGACTACATCTAAGGACAACTGCGTCGTGGCCTGACAGGCTACAGGGGCCACAGCAGAGATGACTGTATGACTTCTGTCCTGAAGGGGCTGGGGAGCCACAGAGGGTTCTGAGTAGGAGGTGAGATGATCTGGTCAGTTAATCAGAAAGATGCACCTGTGACAATATGGTGAACAAACCAGTGGGGAAGGATGGCACTGGAAGAGGTGAAGGGAGGGGACATGGTGGGGTGGTGGCAGTGAAGACAGGAGTAAAGGAGGGATCTGGGGCTGGACATGGAGGCAGGAATTACTGTCCCGGGCTCCTGTCCAGGGACGACCGGATGTGAGCTCCAGGCCCTCAGCTGCACAGCCCAATGGTCTCAGGTGCCAGCCCTCCCTTTACTAGGTGTGTGACCTCAGGCAAATTGCTCAATCTTCCTGTGCTTTAGTTTCCTCATCTGTAACTTGGAAATACCTACCTCCAGGGGCTGTGCTAAGAATTAGACAATGTATGTCAAGTGTTCAGCACACTGCCTGGCCCAAAGTGAACATTTAGTGAGTGCGAGCTGCTTCACGACTGTACGACTGTGGCCCCTAGACACAAACCAACTCCCCACCCCATTACCCCTGTCCCGGCTCCAGGCTACACCACCTCTCTACAGCACAGACGGGGGGGGGTTAGGGGTCAGTGCACTGGGGCAGCAGGGATAGCTGTGCATCTGTGGATCCTGGACAGGCTTAGGGAGGTGAAGGTGGAGGGTGAGGCTGGAGCAGACATTGAGGATTTCAAAGTGGGGGGGTAAGGCTCATACTGAACACCCAGGGTCAAAGCAGGAGCCTGAACTAGTTGCTCTGGTAGGGGAGCCCTAGGTAGAAAAGAGTAAGGAAAACACAACTGTATTTCAACAGACACCACTTTCCACAAAGCAGTGATAAACCAGAAGCTGCTTTGCTGAGAGGGAAGTGATAAAACATGACTGTTAAGTGGGAGGTTTCTAGTCTTGAAGACCTGCTAATGGGCAGAAGCACCGGAGGGGTGGAAACCGGGCGCTGCCACGTTGCACCACATCAGCGCTGAGGGGCAGCCATGCCTTGCTAACCCAGATGGCAAATTCTGAACAGCAGAAGCACGTTCTGCTGAGGCTATGACACAGCCAGGCTGTTTGGTTTCACCTCAAGAAAGCCGGACTGAGAGCCCGGTTTCGCCCCCCACCCTCTCTGGTGTGTGTCCGGAAAGTTTCCGCTTGTCCTTCGAAACGCCACTTCAGCACTGCGCCCTCTGCAGCAACAGGCTCAAACACTTGCCCCTCTCAGTGCTTTTTCTCTGCTTTGCATCTATGATATCTAGCAACGTGTGTCATATTATCTTGATTTTTTTAATTTGATTGTGTTTTCTTCTTCTTTTTAGACTGGGAGACCCCTGACAACAGGGGCCAGGATTAAATGGTTTTTATTCTCCTAGCATGTAGCACAGGGCCTGGCACATACTGGATGTTCAATAAATATGGAACAGAGTTTAACTTAGAGGAATAAGGGAGTATAACCTGAAAACTGTAATGCTGGAAACATTAGCGGCTTTATACATTCAATTCACCCACTTTTGAAGCAGTAGGTCCAGCTGCTGAGACCAAAGGGAACCGAGACGGTCTGTACATGATGGCTTTTGCCCAAGACGCCTACTAACCTTGACAGCCATGGATTCCCTTCAGAAAAGACTGGCATCTGTCAGCCAGACCACTGGGGGGCCATGCCTCCACGGGAACACCGACGATTTAGGCACAAAATAAGCCTCCCACTATATGGTCAATGTTGAATCGGAATGCTGATTTCACTCTTTATACAAAGCCACACAGCTTCAACTAACGGAAGTTTTGAATTGTTCTCCACGTTGAGACAAAAGTGATTCACGGTATTAAAAATTTTTTTGCTTTAAATGAGAGCTCTGACACTCACACTCACAGAGGCCTTCACTGAGCACACCTTTTGAGTCTGTGCAGAAACTGGAAGACCTGGCCTGTTGTATACACCACATCTGCCCCAGACACCACGAGCACGGTGCAGAAGATGCCCACCAAGAGAGCAAAAGCACAAGTCCCTGTGTGCTCCTCTGAGAGAGGCCGCAGCACTGGCACTCGGACCAAGGGGGGTCCGGTCATATCCCTGTGAGCGAGGGGGTGGGGCTGTGTGGCTCTGGGCTGCGCTGCTTCTCACTAAGGCTCTCCAGTGCTCCTGCCAGAGAGAAAAGGGCAGCAGCTCTGTTTTGGTCTTGCTATTCTCAGGCAAGGACTGAAAACTGCCTCTGGAACAGAATACAGATTAAAGGTCACAATATGACCCCAGATTACAAGCTATGCATGTGCCTATTTTCCATTTAGCTTTTTTTCTCCCTCAGCTTCCAACCTGAACTTCTACTTGCACCATGTTTGACTTTAATCAGACATTTCTGCAGTGTTATACCTCAGTAACCTGGTGTGGGCAGTGACAGGCGTGCACGGCCCAGAGCCATGGGAGGGCCATGTCAGCAGGCTCCACTCAGTTCAGAGCTCACTGAGGGCTGGTACACGGTGACCCAGTGGAGAATTCAGGCATCTTTCTACCTTTATTACTGGGCCCTTTCCTAGCATGGTGATTGTTTCACAATGTATTTTCCATATGGAAAAGACACAGGATGTAAAATTGGAGACCCCAGGCACCAGTCAAAGCCAGACGCTGAGTCACGACGTACTGCTCCTGGGCCACATGAGACAGTGGATGAGTGCCTGCTCTGATAAGGAACAGTGAGGTGCAGCCCCATGCCCACATTTGCTCTTGTCTTTAAGGCCCTGCATTCCTCTACTTGGGCTTTGTCCAGGAGGGGGACACTTCATTCTAGATCCCAGATAACAGCCTAAAAACCTCTGTAACAAAGTGCTGAGGAACACAGATGTGAGGGAAGTCTTTCACAAACAAGTGTAAGATGGCGAGGGAGTGGCCAGGTGGAAGTGCAGGGGAGGGACATGGCTGTCCCAAGGGCACATGCTCCAGTCAGTGTGGTCCTGCAGGAGGTGGGAGGCTGCAGACTGTCAAGAGAAGCTGGTGGTCAGTGCCCCAGTGGAATCCCACATTAAGCAAATGGAAACCCTGACTTGAGGAAGCATCCCTTATACAGGGCTTTGGGGCTCTCACAGAGTAAGGTGAACAAAACATGACCTCTTAATAAAAAGTTAACTATACATATAAGGAAACAATACATCAGCAGAAACTACAACAACAGAAAGAGATTCAGATCCTCAGTGTTTCATTCAAACAGAGAACAGGTTATATGTCAAATGATTAAAGAAAGAAAAGGTGATCAAGGAACAAGGGAATATAAAAAGTTGCTATTATGTTTGAAAAATAAATTAATTAAAGCTTTGAAAGAAGAATTATGGTTGGGGTTAAAAACTCAATCTCAAGGGGCAGGTCCGGTCCCATCAGGGAATCACTTAACTGCAAGACTGACAGACAGAGGGTGAGAAATAAGAGACTGCTGCGTACAGGGAACAGAACAATCACGTCTAACGTAGATCTAACCAGAGGATCAAAGAGAGACGACAGAATGCTCAAGAGGGAAAATCAAAATAAAATGGCTGAAAATGATCACACAGGAAATTTAAAATGATTAATATTCTAAGGACTCCAACAGACAATATGCAAGAACAGATAGGTAATGGGAACAGAGACATGGAAACTCTGAGAGAATCAGAAATAAATAAAAGCCCTGTGAGAGAATGAAGGATGCCTCTGATAAGCCTCTCGGGAAGGGACGCAGCCAGAGAGACACGCCAACAGCAACTCCTGAAACGGAAATGCAAAGGGAGACAAAAATTCAAAAAACGACCACCACTGACAAAAAGAAACAGAACAAAACATCCAACAACTGTGGGACAATCACATGAGGCATAACGTAAGGGAAATGGGATGCCAGGAAGAGAAGAGAGAACAGGTAGAAATATCTGAAGTGAAATGGCTAAGAACTTCCCAAAATCAATGACAGACACCAAGCCAAGATCCAGGGAGCTCAGAGAACTCCGAATAGAAAGAATGCCCCCAAATATACACTTAGACAGAATATATTCAAACAGCAGAAAACCTACAGAAAAATCTTGAAAGAAGCCGGGGAAGGGGGGAGGGAGTAATCTCTATATCTTCAGAACAAGGCTAAGAATTGCAGAGGACATCTCATCAGAAACCATGCACACAAGAAGAGTGGACTTAAATATGTTTAAAGTGTTGAAAGAAAAAACCCCACCAACCTAGAATTCTGCATTCAGTGAAATTATCCTTCAAAAGAAGGAGAAATAAAGACTTCCTCAGACAAACAACAACTGACGGAACTCATCGCCAGCAGACTTGCCCTGCAAGAAACGTTAAAACATTTTCTTCAGGCAGAAGGAAAATAATGAAAGGCCAGAAATTTCCCTTATGTTACATCTCTTGTAATTGTCCCACATTAAAGGGAGGGAGGGCAATGGAGAAGGAATAAGTAAAAGTAAAATGAACTCTCAATGCTTATTATTAATTGATTTAAAAGATGACTTTGTCTAAAGAAATAATTGTAACAAGGTAGCGGGTGATAATATAGAGACAAATGAAAAAAACAACAGCAATGTCATAGGGAAAGAGGAAGGAACTGGGAATAATCTGTTAAAAGGGCACCTGCACTACACAACACATCAGGGCTAGCTTGAGGGGGACTTAGATTAGTTAAAATGTATACTCTAACACAACTGCTAAAACTTAAATAAGTGTAATTGATATGCTAAGAGAGATGAAATGGAATCAGAAATGCTCAATTAAAAGTGGAGAAGCTAGGAAAAGAAGCCTCAACAGTTACACACATGGCTGCTGGTCAATCTAAAACACATCAAAAATCACTTTAAACGAATGGTCAAAATACACCAATGAAAAGACAGAAATTATCAAGTACATTAAAAAAAACAGACCCAACCTTCTGTGTCTGTAAGAAATCTACTGCAGGTGTGAAGACCCCTTTAAGTTAAAAGCAAAAGGATGGAGAAAGATACGCCGTGCTAACGCTACGCGACAGCTTGAGTGCCTGTCTTAATTTCAGGCCCATCAGAATTCCGGGCAAGTAAAATGATCAGGAATGATGAAGGGCACTACATAATGTTAAAAAGGGGCAATTCTCCAGTAACACCTAACAGTCTTAAACACGTAAGCATCTAACAACAGAGCATCAAACTACCTGAGGCAAAGTGCTGTGAGGAGAAGAGAAGCCGCCACTATCATGGCTGGGAACTTCCACAGCCCTCTACCCAAAGAAGGCAGACCCAGCAGGCAGCCAGTCGGTGAGGACAGAGCTGGGCTCAACAGCACCAGCGGCTGACTGCGCATCAGGGGCACCTGCGCACAGTGTCACCCAACAGCAGAACACTTCTCCTCGGGGTGACGTGCAGCCCAGACAGACCACATTCTGGGCCACGAAGCACCCTTCAACAAACTCAAAGGCATAGAAATAATACAGTGTCTGCTCTCAAGCAATGGAATTAAAATAGAAATCAGTAACAGAAAGATAGCTAAGAAATCCCCAAATATTTGGAAATTAAACTCCATCACTTACAGTTTTAACTTTTTCTCCAGTTTTCATTACTGTATTTTCCTCATACAACTACTTTTAACTTTCAAATAACTTATATCTCAAACATATAAATGTATCATTGGTATGAAGACATTTGAAAAAAGAAAGTCTTCAAGTTTTTCTAATTTCAAGAAAACATAACTTTCATAGTATTCATCCCAAGCATTTTAGGTATTAAATATTCACCCACAATGGCCAAAGTATGAATTAAAAGAATCACAACTACAATGTCATGAAGTCTTAAAGGTAACAGCCGCCATTGCACCAGAGCAGAAACTCCTGAAGGCTCTGACAACACAGAAACCAAGCAGGTCAGTAAAGCCCCAGTGCTCAGGGCTGCCCTTCACGTTTAGCACCTGCCTTCTGTCTCCAGCTACATCTGAACAATCACACTGAACAATCTTGGGTTAAGAAACCTGCTCTGAAAAAAAAAACCAGAAAGAAAGAAACCTGCTCTGATGCAACAAACCTGGCCTAAGAAAACTGAAGGAGTCTGTGCCAGCTCATTCGTTCTCTAGAAAGTGCTTCTACCAACTCCCCTGGGTTGTGAACACAAGCGTCCAGATGCAGATGTGCCCACAGTATTCAACTCGTCTGACTGACTCAAGTAATGCAGACTAATCTTTTGCAAGACCCAGTAAGTGACAATGCAAGCTTGTTCAGACTGACAGCATTCTTCCACAAGACGCAAATGAAGTACTCTGCGACAGGCACCTCCTCACTTCTCCAAATAAAAACGGCATCCAGCTAATGAATTTACATCAGTGAACAGTCTTGATACTAGTAGCAAAGTGGCTGGAGTGAAGCTTCACTGCATGTCCTCTGTATCTGTCTTTCTACCCATGAGTCGTATCTATCTACTGGGTTAAAGTTTAACAGGAATCAAATAATTGGGTTGTAGATACAGGTGATGCTCTCCCCCAAATGTTTTTCTCCTCCTTTCTCTTCCATACACTACCTATAAAGTTCTGAGAAAAGGCTCAAAGCCAGAGGAAAAGATCAGTTTACTAGACTGTCCCAATAGCCTTCAGGAATATCAATTTCATTACTTTATTTGAAGATTTTTAAAACTAATGTTTGAATAGTTTCTATGAGCAAGAAAGCATAGCAGAGCATTCTAGGAACCCCAGGGTGGCTCCTAGGGGCTAGAAAATAGCTCTGTTCTGGTACAAACGGAGTGGACAGCTTCCCTACCCCACACCCTCACCCAGAGGGAGAGCGGCCACAGTATGGGCAGACCATGAACGCAGCCTGGTTTTGGTTATTCACCTGAACATGCTACTTAAGATCATTCTATTAATAAAGGTGCCATTTAAAGGTTCAAATTGAGCAATATTCAATCTAGCAAAATTGAAGCATAGTTTTGGGAAGTCAGCTGGTACTCAGAATAGAATATGACTAAATGACTATATTCCACTCTAAATCAGTGGTTATTAATCTTCTACCTGTGCTCCCCTTGAAGCAAACAAACCCCACTCTCGGGGAAGACAGGCAACCAATCACTCTTCTTCCAGGTCCTCACTTCTTCCCCAGCAGGCTGCCAGGCCAGCAGGTTCCTGGCAGGCCCGCTCGTGTCTGCCCTGCAGCTGCCTCTCAATAACCTGCATGGCACTGTGATTTTCTCTGCATCACATTTAGGGTTTCATCTTTAAGCTGGTACATTTCTATAGGTCCTTAGTTTACGTACTTAAAAGGCACACTCATTTTAGATCCTGTAGAGCCCAGCAAGTGTTTAAGGACGGTGCCATATTGAAATTATTTTACCCATCACATTAAGAAAAGGGCCAGGCCCCAGAAGGCCAGTGGAAAAGAGAATTGGAGCAGGGTGGGCAGAAGCCACATGAGGGGGGCATTCCTGAGTGTGACCTGCTACACCAACATCATCTGAAACTCTCTGCATTCTAGTCGGTTCTGAAAGAACCATGACTTTCATGATTTTCTTGCAACTGTAAAGGTTCAGAATTCCAACAGTTTCCAATGGTAAAAGGAAACACTTGCAGATCTTCCTATCAAGAGTGGATGCTGTCCTATACAAGGTGCCAGTTCATCGATTTTGTTGGTTTGAGTATGTACTCCTGTAGGATCTTAGTGACAGGTGAGCTTCCAGGCCCTCTTTGCCCCAACTTACCTTACTGTGTGTGAAGGGGGGTGCTGTATACAAGGTGGGGTGGATAAGAGGACGAGGCAGGTGTGGGACTGCGTGCAAAGGCACATGTCCATGGATGTGGGGGTAAAGATGCAGAGCGGGGTGTGTGGGCTTCTCAGGGCTCATGAACTGATGGCCAGGAGGGAGGGCTCCAACTGTCATTGCTGATGGTGTCAGTCCAGAAACTTCTTGTTTACAAACATGACATTCACAAGTGTTTGGAGCTTGTTCAGCCTAAGAGGAAAGAAAAAGAAAAGTAGCTGCTTATTTAGTGAAATAAAGAATAGTATGAATTAAAGTCAATCACATTCTGCCAAACAGCTACACAGAAATAAAGGAACAGGGCTTGTCCTGATACCCTGAGTTGTCCAGGGCTCCCCTTGCAAGGTAAAGAGGGGTCCTGGGAGACTGGAGCTGCAGAAACCTGGGAAAAGCTGATACGCGCACCTTGAGCCCTAGTCAGGCATCTGCCGAAGGAGCAGCCACACTGGTCTGCATCCTATGCCTGTCTGAGCAGGACAGAGAACTGATAGAGACAAAGGGTGGAGAGAGGGGGCTGGGTACAAGGACAACAAAACCCCAGCGCTCCACTAGACAGGTCTACACTGCTCGAGGAATGGTCAGACGGAGGCTCCAAAGGGCACCTGAGATGAAGCCATCGGTAACTCCTCTCCCTCAGAACAACTGTAAGACTTAACACAATTGTCAAAGGCAACCGTGTGAGGCTTTTGAAACCAACCGAAGGAAAAACAGAAATTGAGATGGCGTTTGTTCATGTCAATCTGGCAGAACTTCAGGAGTTCTCAGTGAAGAAAAGCAACCTTCTTGCTTTTCTTCCCATTCCTACCTCCTAACACCCCTTAAAAAAGCGAAATTAAGAAAGAAACAAACAAAACCAAAAGAAACACAATTAAAGAATCAATAGCAGAATTATAATGGTACACTAAAACATTTTTAATACAAAAAAAGGAAGTAAAGGAGAAATAGGAACAAAGATAATGAGACACAGAAATAAATAGCAAAATGGCAGATGTAAACATCACCAATCATTACATTAAATGTAGGAAGTATTCCAAACACAAGGCAGAGAATGAAGGACAGGATAAAATGCAAGACACAACTAAAAGATTCCAAGGCCAGTTGGAGATTCAAAGACACAGAGAGGCTGAAATTAAAAGGGAGAGAAAACATGTAACATGCAATAGTAACAAGGCCAGTTGGAGATTCAAAAACACAGAGCGACAGCACTAAACTATGTTTTCTACCTTTATCTTGCATCTACCTACCACTTCAGCATTTTATTAAAAAAAAATAATAATAATAATAAGGGAGAAATGTTGGATTCACATATAAATCAAGTATAAAAATCAAATGAATAATCATATTTGACCTGATTGTTTATAGTTCATGATGCGTGATCAAAACCGTAAGTTTCTGTGATGACTGCCCTTGCACTGTTCAC